CAACATTATCAAGCCAAATAAATTTGGACCTTTTCCAGAATCATTGGTTGCTGTTTACATTTCTCAGGTTTTAAAATTCCTATCATTGTCCTTTCTTTTGACCATTTCAGTGGCACGATTTAATGTGTGATATACTATCATAAAACAGGTTTTGGAAGGCTTGGTTTATCTACATGAGCAGGGTGTAATTCATCGGGATATCAAGGGTGCAAACATACTGACCACTAAAGAGGCAAGTTTAATTCACACACTTCAGTAATTTATCTTAAGGGTTACGTTATGTCTAGCCTTTACATATTTTATCCAAGAAATTGCCTTCTCTCTCTCTCTCTCTCTCTCTCAAACAATATGTTAACAAAAAAGCGAAAAGTGAGAACAGCCTAGGGGTAGAGGGTGGAGCTCACCTCTCTCCCAAATACTAAACAATGAGAGCTTTCTAATCATTTATATCATAGTGAGGCTATAGTACAGAAGAAATTGCCTTCTCATTGGGCCATTGGCTTGGTGCGTGCATATGCTCTGGTCCATGAAATATCTATGAAGATATACCGCAACCTTTAATATCAATAGAGTTGAGTTAGGTTGGATTTGTACTTTGACATATTAGAAAACTGCTAGTTTAAAAGGTTGGTTGTGCATTCTCTACATTAATTTCCACTTGGCCAAAATGTGGCAAGTGTTATTTCAACAATTGAAGGTAGTTGGGTGTGATATTTTTTCTACATCTAAGTTGGCTTTTGATAAAGACAACTTCTCAGTGGTATTTGAAAAGTTACAAAGCCGAGACTCCTCRAGAGAAAAACCAAACATCCCAAATTAAGAAATTAAATGCTAATACGAAACTTCTCATATTAAAATTTTCTTACATTATTGTTGAACACAAAACTAAAGATCGTAAACTCATTTGAAGTAGTCAAGAACTCCATTGTTGAGTTTTCACTCAAACCTAAACTTGCATTTGTTCACAAGTAAGTTCACCCCTTTCCCATTGATTTGATCAATTAGAATTCACAGTGTCTATGTTGTATCTTATCCTTTGTTTGTATGCGTGTTTCTTCAGACTTTTCTTGGCTGTACTAAATTTGAAAAGGTTATTGCTATATTTACAAGCAGGGTCTTGTAAAGCTTGCTGATTTTGGTGTTGCAACGAAATTAACGGAGGCTGATGTCAATACGCATTCAGTCGTTGGAACACCTTATTGGATGGCTCCTGAGGTATGAATTAAATTCCACATGGTGAGATTTCACTTTCATTTTTCTTTATAAAATTTTTAGTTTCTTTACGCTGCTCTGAAAGTTTGAAATTTCATTGAACGGCCTACATAATAATGAGAAGTTCTTAATGGCCTTGAATTTTTTGAAATAACTAAGCCTGAGATATTTTGTTTCAACTCTCCTTTGATTCTTTTAAAAAGTTTAACTTGACAACCTTTTGATGAAACTGCTGTTACAGGTAATTGAAATGTCAGGAGTTTGTGCTGCTTCCGACATATGGAGTGTTGGCTGTACTGTGATTGAACTACTTACATGTGTACCTCCGTATTATGATCTACAGCCTATGCCTGCTCTTTTTCGCATTGTACAGGTATAATGTCTTCTATTCATGCCACCTTAGATTCATGGTGTGTACTGTCTTTTCTTGGAGAAGGAATGTTTAAGTTTTTTCATTTCATTCCATCGTAGTTGTTCTTTAACTCTGTGTTATATCTTCTTAATTGTTTTTTTAAATAAAAATTGTCTTAAACACGTGTGTGTGCATGCAATATTCATGGACTCAAGCTCTTATAATAACCCTATTATAGCCTACTGGTCAGAAGCCTCAACTTACTCAGATTTTCAATTTATGTTTATTGAAACTACTTCATTTACTAGACCCTGGGTGTAACACAAATTGGGGAGGGTTCTTGAAAGAATCATTGGGGTTTACCTTTATTTATTTATTTATTTTTAACAAGAAACGAACTTTTCATTGATTTAATGAAAGAACATAAAATTGTTCAAAGATAAAAACCCCCGAAGGAGTGAGAATGTAAATAAAACAGTAAACAAAGCAGCAAACAGAACAGTAAACAAAAGCTAAGAGGGAGTTATAAAAGCCTTCCAGTTAGAACAAATCATACTCAAGAATAATTAATAAAAACATTGGAAAGAGCACACCATTGAGAAGCCTTAAGCTTTGCTAGGTAGAAAACTTCAACCGAATCTCTTCGTTTCCCCTTAAAAGCCTTTGATTTCTCTCGAACCAAATGTCGGACAGCAAAACTTTGACTCCATTACACGAAAGAAGACCCGCCCGCCTTTGATGCAAGACTCAGGCCAATTAACAAAGATTGAACATTCTTTGCAACTTCAAAGTCAAAAACCCAAGAAACCTCAAAGATCTCAAAGAAAAGCTTCCAGCAAGTAGCCGAATAAGAACACTGAAAAAATATATGTTGCTGATACCACAAGACTTTCCACACAGTGAGCAAATGGAAGGAAATAAAACCATTGAAGGGTTCTTTCTTTGAAGAACATCCATTGTATTAACTGTATTAACTTTGTCGAAGAGGAGAATCCATATGAGAACATTAACTCTCTTTGGGCTTTTAGAATTCCACGGAGCACCGAACAAATCCTTAGGCAAGGATGAAGAGTTATGTTGTTTACATAGAGAGGCAATCGAAAAGCCGCCGGAAAGTTCCAAGGACCAACGCCTACTGTCAACTTCATCTCTGACCGAAGCCAAGCTAAGTAAGGCTAGCAAGGCTGAAAACTATAAATTCATCATCTTTTAGGGATCTCCTAGTTTCAATGTGCCAAGCACTAGAACTGTAGTCCCAAAACTGAGAAACAGAGGCATTAGGAATAGGAGAAAGCTTAAAGGTTTACCTTTATTGTTATTATTGTTTTTTGGCTCTTCACTTGTTTGCAACTTAAAATTTTGTTTAAAAAATAAACTAGACTTCAGGCGGGATGTATTTTTTTGTCATGATGCAAACATTTATTTATAATTGGTTTGGACATTGACCTTGCTGATAAATATTTTCCTTCTGTTGTCCTTGTACTACCTCACCAATCTTCCAGGACAAGCATCCTCCAATTCCAGATAGCTTATCACCAGACATCACTGATTTCCTGCGCCAGTGCTTTAAGAAGGTTTGCCGGGATTCTATTATTGAATGAACTAATTTTCATGTTCTAATATCTGCTTTCCAGGGCTTTGTTATTTTTTTCCGCTTCCAGCAACCACAAAAAAATAAAAAATAAAAAATAAAAAATAAAAAATAAAAAGAAGAAGAAGAAGAAGAAACTGTTCTTTTAATTTTTAGGAAATTCTATAAGGTGTCTGAGAAGGCAAAAAAATTATATTGCAGGTCTTTTAACTTCCAAGTGTTTGAATTTGTCTGGTATGAACATCATGTTTGCAGTACACTTCAAGCATGTTTTAACCATACAAAGTTACCCCACTATCAACAATCTAAACTAAAGGAATCTAATCTAAAACTTGAGGTAATTGAAGTCGAAAGTGAAAAATCAACTTTCGTAAGCTCGATTCCTTTTAATTGACCAATGTGCTTTTGGATAGCATCTCTTTTACGATGCTATTTAAAAAATTAAAAATAAAAAAATAACGAAAAGGTGGAAAATGAGCTTAGCTCAGCGGTAATTGACATCTGTCTCTGACCGAGGTCATGAGTTCAAATCCTCCCAGGCCTATTTGTTGTACTAAAAAAAATGAAAAGGTTGGAGTTACACTATTGTTGAGGATTAGCAGTGGTGATGACTTCCTACGCTCCCTCCTTTCTCCCTCCAGTGGGTCTCAGTTCCCATCGAAATGACGAAGGTTCTCCTTCTCATAATGGGTTCTAGGAGTTCAGTAAAGATTGCGAACAAAAGGTTTTCCGGTTGTTTGACTCGGAGAAGAAAGGAAGGTTTTTTTAAGTCAATCTTAAGAGAGTTTTCACGATTTTGGTTGAGGTGATAACTGTTTGGCTAGTTGACGATTTGGATGAGTTGTTGCTCGCGCCTTAGACACAAGTTTTTCAGAAAAAATGGACCATAGTGATGGCTTCATTTGGATGCAAACGACCAATAACAAGTGAGGAAGTTTCATGGAAATTACCAAGGTTTTTAATGGGGGAGGAAAATGAAATCTGGTGGTTTCGGTAGGAGTCGACTCCAATGGTTGGGTTTCTTTCAAAAGACTAGTTCTTGAGGTTATGAACGGCAAAAAAACGAAGATAGCTGAGCCTCCGTCTAATGATCCTTGATGAAGTACTACTTTTTGCCGACATAGTTTGAGGTTCCTCCTATGCCTCGGCATGCGTCTGAAAATAATGATGTTTCGATCCCTAAGGAAGTGCGAGTGGTGAATTGGAAGGAAACAGTTGTTAGTTACACGTTATCGGAGGATTGCTTTTTGGCGACTTGTGGCGGAGAAGTTCACCCAAAAATTAAATAAATGGAAGAAGCTCCTCCTCTTCTAAAGGAGGAAGGTTAACCTTGGCTCAATCTGTTTTGAATAGTCTACCAATTTTCTATTTGTCACTCTGATTAGTCTACCAATTTTCTATTTGTCACTCCTTAAAGCCTCGATGAGTATTACAAGAGAAATGGAATGGACAAGGTGGTTAGAGATTTCTTTTGAGAAGGTGGCTCCTCGCATCCTTGTCGGAGAATTGGGAGCAAACCTCCATACCTGTTAAGTTCGAAGGCTTAGGCATTGGTGCTTTTACGCATAGGAATAAGTTTTACTCAAGAAGATAAAGCTTTATGGAGAAGGGTTATTGTTAGTATTTATGGAGTGGATTCTTTTGGATGGCTGCCAAACCCTCCAAAAGGGGTAGCTCAAGGGAGACCTTGGTTCGATGTAGCCAAGAATAGTGTTTTTTTTTTTCCGAAGTTTATGCAGTTTAAGGTAGGTCATGGTAGGAGAATCAGGTTCTGGATTGATCATTGGGTGTGTGAAGATCCTATTGCACAAGTCTTCCCAGATCTCTTTGTAGTATCTTTGAAACAGGGGGCTTCCATAGATGATTGTTTGAATGCAAAGCAGCAAGCTTGAGAAGAGGTCTTTTTGAGAGAGAAATGGCCAGTTGAGTTACTCTGGTTCAGTCTCTGGATCCGTTGTGTTAGGGAARGCGCCTGATAAACTTATTTGGTCTTTGGAAAAGGATGGGAACTTTTCTACGAAGTCGACCTTCCTGCAGCTCATGAGTGTTCCTTCAAAGTTCTGTACCCCTCTGATTAACGGATTTTGGAAGAATAATATTACCATGAATGTCAAAGTTTTCCTTTGGTCGATTGCTCTCCGATCTTTGAATATGGCTAAGAAACTGCAAGTTAGATGCCCAGATTGGAATCCCTCCCCTTCTGGCCCCTTTGCTGAAACGGTTAGTATTTTTTTGTTTGAGGTGTTTGATCTCTTTATTTGTTTGCCCGGACGTATTGAAGATTGGATGATTGAATGCTGTCTTGGTTGGTCCTTTAAAAGCAAGGTCCAAGTGCTATGGCATTGTGCCCTTAAAGCTCTATTGTGAAAAAGGAAATCTCCTTTATTTTGAGGACAAGGCTAAAGTCTTTTGAGTTGTTCTGTAATATTATTCATATTAATGCTTCTTGGTGGTGTCACACAAGTAGAAAATTCTTTTGTAATCATAGCCTTTCTATATTTTTGCAGGATTGGAGGGCTATCCTCTCATAGTTTCCATTTCGGAAAGGGTCTCCTTGTCCCTTGTCCTTAGGCTGTTCTTTTGTTCTTTTGTTTATACAATTTGGTTTGTTTCTTATTAAAAAAAAAAAAAAAAAGGTTGGAGTTACACCCCAACTGGATGCACCATAAGCTGGCCAGCATCCCACCTGTGAAGGAATTTTTCATCTAACGTGGTCAAGGAAAATAGTCACGAACTTGTCCCCAGGGGAAAGAATACTTTCCGTGGAATAAAGTGAACTCCAATGTCATACAGTCGGAATGATAATCGTGGTCCTGCTGGAATATAATACATATGGAGTGCAACTCTATTTCTTTTCATYTTTTCAATGAATGGTTTTGTTTCTTGTTAGAAAAAAATCCATCTGTAGGCCACATATGAATACATATTTTTCCTGTGGTGATATAGTGATAAATCTTAAAAACCACATGAATACATATTACATATCTCTAAGAACAATAKTGTTGTCTTGATTGTTAAAGAAGTTTGTCATCCCTCCATCAAGCTCTAAAATTTCCAGGTGAGATGGCTTTATCAGGGGACCTAGTTCCTCTAAYGCACTAATAAGCTAACTAATAGTAAATTTTGATAATGGATCATCAATGCATGTCAATTCCTCAAATGCAATAAGCTCACTACTAGTAAAACTGGATTTTTCTTGAAAAAGTCTTAACAAAAACGTCTTGTTAAAAAGTTTGCCGTTCCGTAATCGTGAATCTTTTACCAAGCAACTTCCRACGTCTTTTTTGTTTGGGTATTGATGGTATGCTTTTACTATCGGATTTATTGTATATAATTTCTAATTTCAAGGCTTTGGTGTTCTCCTTTTTGGTTTTATCCTATCTTCTTTAAAATGGGATCATGGGAGGGAAATACATCTCTTTGTTTGTCTATTTTGTAGCTGATGAATTATTTGATATCAACTCATTGTGCAGGATGCTAGGCAAAGACCTGATGCGAAAACTTTGCTTTCTCATCCTTGGATACAGAACTGTCGACGGGCTTTGCAGTCTTCTCTTCGTCATAGTGGCACATTGAGGTAGTCATTAGCGTTTTGTTTTAATTTAAAACATTGGGAAATGAATGACAACTTCTATTATTAGCAAGTTCTTAGCTATATTCTGTCAGAAACAATGGAAGTAGTTTAACATGCTTGAGCCCCAATAGTTTGAAATAAAAAGGACTATTAAAAAGTTAGGACTAGTTTAATAACGTTCCCGTTTTTTGTTTCTCGTTTCCAATTTTATTAAGARACCTAAATATTTGACAATTATTTATGTTTATTCTTTCTCATTTTTAGAAACATTYTCAAAATTAGATAGGAATTTGGAAACAACRAAAATAAGTTTTTTGTTTCTAGTTCCCGCTTCCAATTTGTTACAGCATAAATAAAGATCTTATTTTATTTTATCACTCTTGAATCCATGGGTGTCGAGGGTCGTGAAATTCTATTATTCTTTATTAAAAAGGAGGAAACAGAAACAAGAAATGTGACCGTTATGTAACAACCCTTTAGATGCTTGTTTTCTTTTCCATCTTTATGCCCTGTAGATGCTGTTCTCTGTATCTTGCCCCATACCTTTGCCCTTTTTCTGTGTGTTTGGGGGTGGGATGGGGAATGGGCGGTTGGTAGATAGAACTTTTAGGCACTGCAGCTATTTAGGCTTGGTCATAGGCTACTGTCCCAGGAGCCAGGTATGCCAACTTCCCTGACCCAGGTTTGTGTATTTTGGACAAGACATGGACTTGCCAGTTTGACACACTAATTAATCTTCGGTGATAGAGATTGTGCATGAAATTTATTTCTTAGAAAAAACATGGCATCTTCACTACGGTGGCCATTCAAAACTGTGATTATTAATATATTTACTTTTCCTTATGGCAGAAACATTCAAGAAGATGGGTCGACAGAAGCAGAAATTTCTAATGGAGATAATCAGAACTCTCGTGAAAGCTCTTCGGTGGAGAAAAATGAAGTTGCTGATTCTGTGAGAGCTGTATATACTAGAGTTACTTTGCTATGAATTCAACATTCTTCAAAGTTGCTTTTGAATTGTTTCATCTGTGGTAAGTTYGGTAGTCATGTTTCCAGGATTCCAGGAAGGAGTTGTCATCAGATGTTGCCATTGATGCAAGCAAGTCCCAGAAAAATTTTGCTTCAGGTCCTAATTTTGTTGAGGAAAGAGAAAGCTTAGAAGAAGATACCCTACTGGATCAAGTTCCCACCTTATCCATTCATGAAAATTCATCTCTTCTGACTGGTTCTGGCAGACTTGCTACCTCTACGCCAATTGAATTTGACGAATCTCAAAATAGAGTCCGTGAAGAAGTGGTTATGAATGSTGAAGTGCCGCCCCCAGAATTAAGGAAAGATGTTTCTAGAAAACATGGAGAGAAAGAAACTTCTACATCTGGAAGTAGACCATTCGGTTTTGGACCTGAAAGTCAAGATAATAATTTTCAAAAGGTATAGTTGTAGATTACTTACTTTGCTAGTTATAAATAGATGAGTTGACATAWTTGTTACTTAAACATTTCTCATGATCTATTGTTGAAGTTAATTTTGTTAACGCATGGCTTGTGGTAATTTCCTAAATGGTCTCAGTGCACCTATTGGCACATTTGGTAGTAGATATGCTGAAATTCTGTTTTTCCATCTAGCAATTGTCTTCAATAGGTGCTAGAATTTTTGCTATAAAATTATGGTATTATGCTGACTGTCAGTGTTGTTGAAGAGGAAATGCATGGATATAGTAAGCATCTGAGAGACCTRGTTAATTATTTCTATGATTCCACTATTTGCAACCTCTTGCTAGTAATGGTTTTTCCAAACCACTCTAACAAACTCTAGCTATCTCATATTGATATAATAACATCTCATTTGATCGACGTGATTTTTTTTTCTTTTAGCTTTTTTCTCCCTTTACATTTTTCCTCTCTTGATTTCTTKAGTTAGGCATACAGTATGCTGAAACTACCATGTCACTACTCATGGTTGATTCCGAATTAGGATTCATCATATTACTGTAATTTCTTTTGCCATATGTTTCTCGAAAAGTGAATTTAAGTGTTTAATTTTAATTTTGGTTGATTACAGATTAGGATGCCRTTTGTGAAGTTTAAGACCTTACATTATCTTTAAACCACAACCTCCCCCCTCCAGAAAAAAATGAACTTATGGATTTGTAGAATTGTTATTTTTGAAGGCTTCAAAGATGTCGATTGCTTTGGGAGGAGGAAACGAACTGAGTAAATTTAGTGACACTCCTGGAGATGCGTCCTTGGATGATTTATTTCAACCTCTAGATAAACTCCCTGGTGATCAAGCTGCAGAGGCATCAACATCTGTATCTACCCCACAGTCAAACGTAGGTAATATGCCAGTGAATGATGTTGGGAAAAATGACCTGGCCACAAAGTTGAGGGCTACGATTGCTCAGAAACAAATGGAAAATGAAATGGGACAGGCAAATGGTGGGGGTGACCTGCTTCGACTAGTGATGGGTGTTTTAAAGGATGATGATATTGATATTGATGGTCTGGTATGCATGATGTTACAGTGGCGTTAGCATTCTAATACACTCTTGATTTACTCCACAGCTGATAGTCTTCTGATTTTTGTAATCAGGTTTTTGATGAGAAGTTGCCCGGAGAAAATCTTTTCCCCTTGCAGGTACTAGTTTTTTTTTTACTCTAGGAAACTAATTCATTCCGATTCTTATGAATGTAGTGATTGAATTGGCTTTTTAAGTTATCTGTTCGTGTTCTGTTTATGTATGATTTTGTATATTCCTAATGGAAAACAAGTGTAATTTATTTTACTTGAACATGAAATAGGGAATTGTTGTTTTCCATTTCTTATCTTTCCTTGTTTCTTTTGGTAGGCTGTTGAGTTCAGCAGATTAGTTGGGTCATTGAGACCTGATGAACCTGAAGATATAATTGTATCCACCTGTCAAAAACTGATTGCTTTCTTTCATCAAAGACCTGAGCAGAAAATTGTTTATGTTACACAGCATGGTCTGCTCCCTTTAACAGAGTTGCTTGAAGTTCCTAAAACACGTGTATGGTTCTTATATTTACCTCATTATAATCATTAATTCTTTGTTGACTTAATCCCACCTTACAGAATTTGTCTATTTCCCAATATTTCAGGTTATATGTTCCGTGCTCCAGCTTATAAATCAGATAGTTAAGGATAACAGCGACTTCCAAGAAAATGCCTGTCTTGTTGGTCTAGTAAGTAATTATCAAATAATGTTACCATCTGGCATTGTTCATCAAATAATAGCATTGATTGGCCTTTGGTACATCATCACTAAGCTAATTTCTGCAGTTGGTTTAAAATTCTGTTAGAATTTATGCTCCTTTATGCAACTTTACATATTCCCATTTTGCTYGAATACTTGATATAGCTCGAGTATTGGAGGAAAGTATTTCAATCATGTGTGCTTGAATATTCAGTTAAGAATTAAGTTCCTATTATTGGATCAGGAATAGGTGGTTTGTTATTTAATGGAGTTTGTTAGTTTTATTTATCGCACTCAATGTTTTTATTATAAGTTCAATTGGTTATAACCAAATTTTTTAAAGAAATTATTAGGAAATTTTATATTTTCTCTCCAAGATTTTTCAAATCTTGATCTTATCTATCATAATCAGATGTGTCTTTTAGCCTCCCAAGTTGTTTAGAGTTCTACTTTTCCCCTTCTGATTTATCTTTTGGAGAACTACTGAATGAGCTTCAATATTCTATCAGATTCCTCTGGTAATGGGCTTTGCGGTTCCTGATCGTCCTCGAGAAGTTCGTATGGAAGCAGCTTCTTTCTTACAGCAGCTTTGTCAATCAAGGTTTGAARTTTTAACTTTGTGATGTTRTTATTACCCTGCGTCTTCCTCTCTTACCAAGGGTTTTTGTTAAAATATTTCAGCTCTTTGACATTGCAAATGTTCGTTGCATGCCGTGGAATACCTGTTTTAGTAGGCTTTTTAGAGGCTGATTATGCGAAGTACAGGTATGTAAATATTATATGCGACAGTAGAGTATTTTTAGTAATGATAGGCATACTGGTTAACTAGTAGTTTGTGTTTTCTGGCAGTATTGGGGATTTTATGTATTTGAAAACTTTATACGAACAATTAAGATTGGAGAATAAATATACGTAGTATATGCATAATAATGAATCTTTTTTTCTTTTGATAAAGTACTCCCATGAGATAAAGATGGAACTTAGGATGAAGAAGAAATCTAACTATAACATGGAACAAAAATTTCTCATCTGAAGTCTGATCTTTATAATTTGGGAAGTCTTATTAATGAAGTGTGTTGTTTTAAATCCTCGTGTAATATGATATTATTTTGAGTTTTGAGTTAAAATTGAATCAAATTTGATTTGTTACCTCATATCTGCATTTTTCACTAAATCTGGTCCCCAGTTTATCCCCATTTTGATGTTTAATTGTTTAATCAGTTGCTAATTTAGTATTAGCTTTGTTGTTCATTTGAAAATTAAATTCATTTCCATCTGATGTGCGTGCTGATCCTTTATTTGATTTTGCTAATGTTCTTTTCTTACACGTTAAACTTGTAAATATTATATTTCTAGGGAAATGGTTCACCTAGCTATTGATGGAATGTGGCAGATCTTTAAGCTCCAGCGTTCCACCCCTAGAAATGATTTCTGCCGTATAGCAGCAAAAAATGGAATTCTGCTTAGGCTCATCAACACCCTCTACAGCTTGAATGAGGCAACTCGCTTAGCTTCCATTACAGTTGGGGCTGGATATCCAGTTGATGGCTTAACTCAACGGCCACGTTCAGGTCAACTAGATTCTAGCCACCCTATATTCACTCAGTATGAGGCCTCATTTCCTGCACCTGATCAGCCTGATATTTTGAAGGTCAGGCATGGAATAGTTGATCATCACCCATCTACTGGAACACCAGAACCTTCTAGGGCTTCAACTTCACATTCTCAAAGATCAGATGCCAATCAATCCGATCATCGACACTTTTCCATGGATGCTGATAGGCCTCAATCCAGCAATACCTTAAATGAAGCTTTGGGAACTCCTAAATCGTCAGACCTAGTATCATTAGAAAAAGTTGTAAATTTAGCAACCAAGGACCCGTCTAACAGGACTTCCACAGATAGGGCTCCAAAATTGGTGGAACCTGTGTCTAATGGATTTCCTACATCATTGGCTACTCAGCAAGAGCAAGTTCGGCCCCTTTTAAGTCTGTTGGACAAAGAACCTCCCTCTCGACATCTTTCCGGTCAGCTTGAGTACATGCGCCACCTTTCTGGGTTGGAGAGACATGAAACTATAATGCCTCTATTGCATGCATCTAATGAAAAGAAGACAAATAGCGAGCCTGATTTTTTAATGGCAGAATTCGCTGGTGAATATCTCTATGAACCTTTATTTTAACTTCCTCTGGACAAGACAAGTCAATTATGTGTGCAATGGAGTTGATATTATCAAACCGTGAGAGTTTCTATTGCTCATCATAGAAATAGAGATTGAACTTAGGTGCACTACAACGATWTGGGGACAAGCCCTTCGCGGGCATCTTAACAGTTTACAGAGTGCTCTTGGGCTAGTGATTATTAGATCTTTTGAAAGTTTTCTTAGACAACGCTTGCAGTTATTAGAGACAATATTTTAATTTTTAAGTAGCTTGAGAGTATCTTTCAAATAAAACTGATTGTAATTCTTTTCATCCCAGATGTTTCTCAACGTGGAAAAGACAATGCAAATCTTGACTCCACTTCTAAGGTTTCTCATAAAACGGTGACAAAGAAGGTAGGACCTCAGGTATTGAATGAAGGAGCTGCCTCCACATCTGGAATTGCTTCACAGACAGCATCTGGGGTACTTTCTGGTTCAGGCGTTTTAAATGCTAGACCAGGGAGTGCAACATCCTCTGGACTTCTTTCGCACATGGTTTCAACTCTGAACGCTGATGTTGCAAAGGAATACCTGGCAAAGGTGGCAGATCTTCTGCTTGAGTTTGCTCAGGCAGATACAACTGTGAAGTCATATATGTGTAGCCAAAGCTTGCTTAGTCGCCTTTTCCAGATGTTCAATAGGGTAGAACCCCCAATTCTCTTGAAGGTACGTGAGGGTAAATCTTTWCATTCATTCATTGATCTGGTTATTTGTCCCAGTTGGTTTCTACTAACTGTGCTTCCTTTTATTTTTCCTTTTGTAGATACTGAAGTGTGTAAATCATCTATCAACAGATCCAAACTGCTTAGAAAATCTTCAGCGAGCAGATGCAATTAAATATTTGATCCCGAACCTTGAACTCAAAGAAGGGTCTCTGGTATCACAAATACATACTGAGGTATGCTTACTTTTCCTTAATTGTTTAGACAATGTACTTGTATTGGTACTCTCTTTTTTATTATTATTATTTTTTTCCCTGATAAGAAAAAATCTCATCGAAGAATGAACTTTTTTAATTTGAACTATATAACACCAAATAAGATCATATTCACGAAATACATCTGAATTTGCCAATTTTTAAGGTATTTGTTAATATATTGATCTATTTTAACATGATTTACCYAAGTCTTATGTACACATTATGTGCTTAATAAATACTTGGAACATGTCCCCAAGCTTGGTGGCTTGGGGCCTCAAGGGGTCTTGGGTTCAAGCTACATGGCACGTAACTTCCACCKAGCAATGACCCCTTGTGTATGTACGGATATGGGGAAGTTTCATAAACGAAAACCTCTTATATTCAGTTGATTTTTTAGGCCCCGAAGAAAGAGGGTGAATATCTCTTAGGCTCGGGCCCTAAATTTTAAAATWATCGACTGCAAACCTTTTTTTGTCCTCTTTGTAGATCTGTGACAACATTCTCTCCAAGAAACGTATATACTTTATCTCAAAAAAATAAAAAAACACATATACTTGTGTCGTGTTAACTTAAATTTCTTACCCAAGCTTCCTGCTGTGTTTTTCTCTGTAGGTCCTCAGTGCACTATTCAATTTGTGCAAGATAAATAAGAGGAGACAAGAACATGCAGCTGAAAATGGAATTATTCCACACTTAATGCATTTTATAATTTCAGACTCTCCTCTGAAACAATATGCATTGCCTCTACTGTGTGATATGGCCCATGCATCTCGTAATTCTAGGGAGCAGTTAAGAGCCCACGGTGGGTTGGATGTATATTTGAGCCTTCTTGAGGATGAGCTGTGGTCTGTCACAGCATTGGATTCCATTGCTGTTTGCTTGGCTCATGACAATGACAACCGAAAAGTTGAACAAGCTTTGCTGAAAAAGGATGCAGTTCAGAAATTGGTTAAGTTTTTCCAGTGCTGCCCAGAACAACATTTTGTGCATATATTGGAGCCTTTCTTGAAAATTATCACGTATGTTCCCTTTTATCTGTTTGGTTTATTGTTGCCCAAAATTTTTGATAATGATTCTATTTTTACTTGTCATCCTATAGGCTGCTTTCTTTTTTCGATTCATAGTCTTACGATGCCCACTCTCCCCTGCCCCTGGAAAAATAATTCAATGTGGCCATCCCCTCCTAAATTTTAGAGGCATAGTTAAAAACATGGTTTTTAATTTCTCTTTTGTACATCAAATGGAATAAAATCACTGGTCATATTGTTCCATCCCCTAAGAATAATTTCCTGCCTCTCACCAGAGAGGAGAATGCAAAGGTTACAAATGTAATACCAAATAACTGGAAATTTGGGTGCTGCAAACACTAGTTTCATTACCTACCTTTGATATTTCTGCTGCTACAAATATTAACTGGACATCTACTTCAAATGGCAGAAAATCGTCCCGAATAAATACGACATTGGCTGTCAATGGTTTGACACCATTGCTTATAGCAAGGCTGGATCATCAGGATGCAATTGCTCGGCTTAATCTGCTTAAACTGATAAAGGTAAGAGATATTTGTTTTTGTGAATATAGGCATCATAAATATGGCAGTGGGTTTTATAGAAGATTACTAATAAGCATTGAGCTATACTCACATTAGTTGTGCAGTATTGGTTATGCCTTTTTAAGGATTTCATAGCAGACTTTTAATATAACATGAACGTCAATCATAGTTTTACTTTTGATTTGAATTTGGAATGCCTAATGTTTCATCTGGCAGGCTGTATATGAGCATCATCCACGACCCAAGCAATTGATTGTGGAGAATGATTTACCTCATAAACTTCAGAATTTGATTGAGGAACGCAGAGACGGGCAACGGTCTGGCGGGCAAGTGTTGGTGAAGCAAATGGCTACATCTCTGCTTAAAGCACTTCACATTAACACCGTTTTGTAAGAGCTTAGTATTTAGGACCCTTCCCCTTGTATGTGTATGTATGTATGCTGTTAAAAGTATCTCTTTTTCTTTTAATTAATTTTTTTGCCTCGTCTTCTAATGTCCCTCCCTCTTTGGGGGGATTGCCTCCATTTGGTTGGCTTGTTCACAAACTGGATTTTAGAATGATGGGCATTGTATGAGTGCATTGTTTGTCTTCATATTAAATCTCATTTTTTATGATGATGATTATACATATTATATATATATATATATATGTTAAACATAGTGTTTGAGTATGTGTTTCATAAATGTTTCTAATATTTTTTCACATAAGTTCAAGTTACAAGGATGGTGCTTATTTGATCTTTGTACCTCAAAAAATGTCAATTTGATACGTAAACTTTTGTGAACTTCTAAAATTTTGTCCATATGGTCGATGTACCAACATTTGTTTAATGTTCTAACATTATATAATGATTTTTATTTTTAATGTTTAATATTGTTAGTTTAATTCTTTAATAGCATCCAACATGAGTTYAGATAATTCGTACTTCAAACAGTGAAAATGTAAGTTACACAATTTCAAATACAGGTTCATTGTATTAGTACAACAATATTTGATTTCAAATAAGTTCATGAGCTTGGTKGCACAAGTGTTAAACTAATAAAATTAAAAGTTAAGGAATCTGTTACTAGGAATTAAAAGTCATTGCAAAAGAATGGCATTCCTCAGCCAATCCAAAGTTATGAAAGGCATATAATCTCAGAATATATCTCAGGTCAATCAAAAATATAATCTGAGTTCCTTTCACTTGGGAAAATGAAGAACAATCACAGGTATTATACAATTTTTATGGACAAATCCAAGCCCCACTTTAGAAAAAGGTGATTTGTTAAACATCCTACGCTACAGTATCGCCATAAAAATTTTAAAAAAGCACTCATAAGGACACAAAACCTCCAATGCGAGCAGCAGCATATTAACACAAATCTTCCACACAGCACAAACATTATCAAGCAACAGGTACGTTAAATCAAATCAGCAACGTTCATGGGCATCTCATCAATCTGGGTACTGTAATACTGCTCAATATCTCTCAGGATCTTTATGTCATCGCTTTTCACAAAGTTAATGGCAACACCCTGCGTTAAACGACACAAACTTCGTCTTAAAAAAGTTTTTAGTTTCAGCCAAGTTCAAGTTTAGGAAATTAACAAACACCGCAGTAAGGRAACGTAGAACATCATTCAGCAGCGTTGTCAGTGTTAGGTATCCGAATACAAGAACCTAACAAGAACCGATAGCCTTTTGAGAGGGCYATCTCTCTCCCAAGAACTCTCTCAAGTTCCTTACACAAAATACAATTCTCCAATATATCCTTCTCCTCTCCCTACTACCCTTCCCTTATTTATAACAACTCACCCTAACTAATAACTATACTACCCCTTCATACCAACAAACTAATATTYCCCTATACTCCTAATAAGACTCTCACATTACCCCGYGCCCTTCAAAGAYACCTTGTCCTCAAGGTGTGAATACACAAAAACAATTTTTTTTTTCTTTTTAACTACCCATCCAAAAACGCCGAAAAGAAAACAAAAGGTCAAAAATAACCCCTACCCAATATTAACAAACCAAAAACCCACCAACACTCCTTTTGCCCAAGGCCATGGCCCAATCATCCATATCATCCATAATAGTCTGCTGCCCCTTTCCAGTTGATTGGGCCCTTTTTTTAATCTGTTTAACC